GGGAGGCTTAGTAGAACGCACCTAGTCCGTAGTCCTCTGCCATAGTAGTTGTCATAATTCTCAGTATCATAAAGCGGACTTGGTATATTCTCAAACGTTTTGCTGGCCTCGCATTCGGCATCATCATTCAGTGCTGCCATTCTCCACACCAAGCTACGAACTCGTCAAAGAGACAAGTGAACTCAATCCTTCGACCAACCGTTACGCTATCACTCCTTTCTGTCCTGGCCTATCTATTTACCCTTTAACCTCTTATTAAACTCCCGCCCTATCACAACTTCTCACTTGCTTACATTTCACTCGTCTGAATTTGTGCCCTTTTGTGGCAAATCTAGTGTTACCTCATCACCTGCTATTCACCCCGACCCCCTCTTTTTCGATCGGCTAATCCGACTCGGGCCTTCAATCCGGATTCACCTCATGGTCTCATAGATCTTTCTGGCTGACCGATTTCACTTGGTTCCAGTTTTAGTGTGAGTTTCACTCTAGGCGCTACTTCTCAATGCCCTAGAAGCACATGCACTGCCGCCTTCCCGAGCAGAGCGCCTAGACTCTGATTCCCATGCTTTCAGATATCAGGCATTGCCTTCACGGGTCGTCTCCTTGATTAAACCTGTGTAACCTGGGAAAACTGCGGACGCCAATCTTTGGTCGCTTACTGAATCTCAAGTGAATTTATAGTATATTTTGGCCACAACGTCGAGTTGATTATCCGTCCGCCTAGCTCCCTGACTACCAGGCCCCCAGTTCGCAATCAACTGGGTGCGTTCTACTAAATCCCCCGGACAACAAGACCAAGTTGCGACAACGAGGTCAACCCACTTCTATAAACTCATTTGGAGTTTTTACCTATTTTGTTTCTCTCTTCGGGTTGACTATGGAATAATAGTTATTTAGTGGCATTGATCTGTAATCGTATATTTAAAATATCGACACGATGTGGGATACCTTAACATTAATTCAGGGCGTGATAGTCAGGCTTATACGGTATAGGCTGTTTTTTGTTCCTTAATCGTTAAATCCCACAAATTCGTTGTCGGACTTAATTTTATTTAAATTTTCAATGGGTGTCAAGCAAGCGACCCAAGCTCAAGAGCCCTCTGATTTGGCATAGTACTGGTCATAGAACAATACAGATTTAAAGACAGGAATTCGTATCAACGGTACGAAAGTTCTCTAGCAGTATTTAGCATTGTTTAAAAACACTTTATGAAAAGATTTGTTTCACTTTGCTTAAGTCAAGCATACTAGATTTCATTTTAAGGTATAAATCATATATCTGTTCTTATTCGTGATTTATTTAAAAAAATTATCCTTGGCTAGCTTTAGAATGATTGTTAAGTCCTATTTGGTTAGGAAATCAGGCACTTGAAGCGCTTTGTTTGGGAAGAATTGGCGTAAAAGCTTGGTCTTCTACAATATTCCTTAGGTAAGGGTTCTCACTAATGTATATTGAAGTTTCCGCTCTTCTCTAATCTCATCAGAATATCTGAAGACATAGTAAACGTCACTTTCTTTGCTACTCATTATGGACAGATTACCATTGGCTGCCTAAAGGAACAGTTGCCACATTTGGAAGCTTCACTTATGGGCGGAAATAACCCGCCATATGACTCAGTAAAGGAAAGTTATACCTATTTCATATAATAAAATTCGTAACTTTATATCATTATAATGTTTTTTTAACTTCGAGGAAGCTATGAAAATACGTTCAGGTCGGGCTTATCCTTTGAAGATTGATAGATTTATAGATATGAAGAGAAACTGGGTTTAGATGAATCTCTTGAGGTAACGTTGTTGGGGCGACTTTCATTTCGTATGGAAGTTTATGAAAAGGATATTCGTTGGTCGATCCCACCAGATAAGAACGAATAAATATCGTTGTACTGCAACCGTTTGGTTTTTATACGATGTACATGTTTACGCAGTCTACGAGATTTCCTCCCTCGTTTAGTGTGAAAACGGCCTGAGCTTTAGTCCATCATATGGTGGAGATCATCAGAGCTAGGTGTCATTCCTGTAAGAGTCTCTCGTGGACTGCGTAAACACGTACATCGTATAAAAACCAAACGGCTGCAGTACAACGAGATTCATCCGTCCTCATCTGATGAGATCGTCCAACGAATCTCTTCATGCACTTTTATACGAAATGAAAGTCCCCCCAATAATGATAGATCTATGTTTGAACAATGCTAAATCTGCTTTAACAGTTGAAATAATCTATTAACTTATGAAAAAAAGCCTTAGGCCTGACTTCTCGTTTCAATCAGGCTTTGAGGCATTGTTATGCAAATTTAATATAAAATTAATTGACATTTAGTAGGCATTCAGACAAAAACGGACACGATGGATACTTCACTTTTGATGGTCGCCTTTATGACTCTAACAAACGCATTAATCATTTGTATTTATCTGCTTATATGGCTTATAAGCTTCTAAAGTGTCTTCTTCATAAGACCCTTTATTAGATCCAATATGAAAATGTTTTCATTATGTTCTATCACGGCGCAATCATATTCGTTTTCACACGTAACCTATTTAAATAAGCTCAAATGTTCTATACTTTCTTCGCACTTTTTGTACTGATTAAAGTTTTCCACGTGCAAACGAAACATACTTTAAGTAAATATTGTCATAATAACGTGATGACACTAGATATTAGCGCCCGTGGCATCCCGACATACTGAGCTCACGCCTTGCTCAGTCCTGCCCAAAAGATAATGCACAATATAGGACTCTTATCTTTTAGTGACATATCCCCACACTTTTCACATTCAACGTTTAGTTTTTGCTAGATCCCATACATAGCCATGGCTTAACATCCTTTGGCACATGACTAATCTTGACTCCTTATTTTGCGTCGTCCAATCAAAGTTTGGCACCGCATCGTTCAATCAGAAGCTGACATGGAAAACTACACAAGGGTATATCAAGTAGCTAACATCCTGTTTAAATTGGTCATCTACTTTCCCTTGTCTTTTTCTCCTGCGCTGTGGCCGCCTTACTGCATTCAGCCGTTTCTAAATATTACATTTAGTAATACTCTTTTTCCTTTTCTCTCACAGTTTCGGGACATCCAATTTTGGAGTTGTAGAGTACAAGCGTTTTATGTTTTAGAGACAGTCTTTGTCCTCTCTGGAACACTAAAATCTTAATAACCACAAGGATAATTTTGCTATTGTTTTTCCTTACTAATTAATACTCAAATGCTTTAGACTTTCATATGGCTATGCAGCTCTAGTGACAACATGAATTTAGCTATTTAGGACCTTTGGAGTAAAATGTGCTTTCTTTGCTCATTTAATCTCCTATTCCCTGTCTTGGACCAGATCTAATTTAAATGAATTCTAAGAAAGATAATCAATATTAGACTTATTAAAACCTGATGAGAATCACATCTACAACCGTGTCGTAGAACACCCTACACTCGCTGCCATTGGCGTGATTTAATCTCTGACCCCTAAATCATATGGAAAAATGCAGCATAAGGCATAATATAATGGGAAACAAGGCAGTGCATTCAATAAACGGCTATAATGGGGGAAGAGGAGAATACTATGTTGTTAGAAAGGCTCCGAAATTCACCAAAACTACTATGTTCCCTCCGGGTTTGAAAGTGAGCAGTGAAAGTGACCAAGCGAGCGAACACTGTCAATCTGTTTCCAAGACAAACTTTTCGAAGAAGAATTTAGAAGTTTGCTTGACGGAACTTAAACCTCAGTCTTCAAATGCTTGTGATTTGCAAGCTGGGCCACACTTTAAAGAACGGGAAGATTTTGCCTGCATCTCAGACGGTTTTGAGACGAACAGCGTTTCCTCCAACATAGAGCTGGTCTCAGACTTCCAAAAAGACGATAAGGCGTCTATCAAGTTGTTTAGACAAAATACATCGGATCTAGTTAATTCTCTAAATGAAGAAATTGGCACGCTACCCTCTGGGGACCAATGGTCCTCAGCAGCCCTGAATCCAAACAAAATTACGCAATTTCC